TTTTTTTGGTTTTTTTTCTTTGTTTACTTAACATTTTGGGTTAAATATATAAAATAAATATGCAAAATATAAATATGAAATACATAATGATAAACACCACTTGTGTAAAATAATTTTGTTTTACAACAGATATACAACTTCTTTGAATAAATTATTCTTATTTTTGTGAAGAAATATTGTGTTCATTTCAATACAAAAAAGATTTCATAACTAATTCAACATATCGTGATACATATCGTATCGTGCTTCAAATATCGTGATATGTATCGATATAGAAAATGTTGTATCGTCCCAGCCCTATACAGTATAATGAAAAACCATATATGATCAAATTTTAAACCTTAATAAAAGTACAATCCGATTGCACAGAACGACATATAGATGGAATTGACGGCGAAATCACATATTTTCGAGAAAATAAAGACTCGCGTTACAGTTGGAGGGGGGGGGGGGGGTGATTAAGAACTGTACGTTATCCACGCTTCAACTGCCTATGCCATCATTAGCTTTTTTTCCGAGCCCTCGGCTTGGTTATCAGCTTAGTCACTTTAAATCAGTAAGTGTCAAGGTTCTTCCTCTCATTTTTAATTGATACTACACTTAAAAGTTAAAACAGTAACGCATCAATCTCTACAAACGTGTCTGAGAGAGGAACGAACGACAATTCTGCAAGGGAGGCTGGTAACTCATTTGCACAGTGTGGTCCTGAACTTTTTTCTCTCCAGTCTATGCACACAGTTTCACACATTGTCAACTACATATATGTACATACATTAGAAATAAATTTCTCCAAGCACTATTACTAAGAAATTTTTGATTAAGACACTTATACTAGACAATAAGTCATCGCCGAACTTTTAATGTTTCATGTTCCAAGAAAGATAACTCGCAAGTAACCGTCTTCTTGCACAGTGTCCCTGTGTACAGTAACAAGATGATTGAAGACATAATCATGCACTGGTGCTCAGATCTTATAAATCAGACATATAATGTAGGAAGAAAAAGAGAAGTGCATTATTTACATCTCCTCTGTCAACCCAACAGAAATGGGCAGTTGAATGAAACAGGTTCATGAGTCACAAAGCTCATTCATCCTAATTTTGTGCTTGTTAGAACAAGATGCATACAACATACTGTCAAATAAATTGCCAAACTAACCTAGCAAAAAAGTAAGTATTAAATCATAGGCCATTTATACAATTTGAAGGATAATATATGTAGCATACATGATAATATACATACAATGTATACCAAACTATTTGGAGATACAATATGCATACCAACTGAAATCTCTGAGACGGGATTAATTACAATAGCTAAGAATAAAGGATGGTCAAAATTCATGTACAGATATATGACTACTGGTATGTGTCCATATGCCTTTAGTGTATACATGTATACAAGATCATATCATACTCTGGGTCCAAAGTTACATTCAGGTTCAAGATATGTGAGGTTCACCTGATAGAGGTCCATGAGTAGAATTCAATGACACATCATATGCATAAAATCTTTATTTTGATTTACTGGGGAACATTTAAACAAATTCTTGATCCCCAGTCTTTATTATTTAATGTAAACAATTATATGCAGTATATGTACATAATTGGAAAAAAAAACACATATTACATCAACAATGCAAGAAATTATATTGAAAAATAATAGAGGTAATGGTTACTGGAAAATGAATACGTCGATTTTACAAGACGTGGAATTTTGTAACATTATTAAAGACTTTTTTGAAGATCTACCTGAAAATATTAGCAACCAAACAGATCCACAAATAAGATGGGAAATGATCAAATATCAAATAAAAGAGCTATGCATTGAATATTCTAAATCGAAAAACAAAAGCGTAAAAAATAGAATTAAACGAATAGAAAAGGAAATGGAAGAAATTGAAATGTCTAAGTCTGATAATATAAATATGATATATAAAAGAAATTTGGAAAAAGAACTAGATCAGTTATATGCATATAAATCAAAAGGGGCCAGGGTGAGAGCCAAAGCTCGTTGGATTGACGATGGAGAAAAAAACACATCTTATTTCTTAAGATTAGAAAATAAACACCAATCACATAATGTCATAAATAAATTATCAGTGGGAGATAACTGTGTTTATGAAACTCAAGACATTTTAAACGCACTAAGTTCCTACTATGAAAAACTGTATTCGTCTAGCAATATATCAGTAAACGATATTAATCAATATCTGCAAGAAACGGAACTTACTAATTACCTATCTGATGAAGATAGAGAAAATTGCGATAAAATTCCTGAAATTGAAGAATGTGCAGAAGTTGTATATAATATGAAATTGAATAAATCACCGGGATTAGACGGAATTCCCGTGGAATTTTATAAGATGTTTTGGAAATATGTAAAAGTTTATTTATATGAAAGCCTATTGAGATCTTTCGAGGTAGGCGAATTATCATCTACGCAGAGATCTTCTGTTCTATCACTCATACACAAAAAAGGGAGCTTAATAAATCTTGATAACTATCGTCCTTTTAGTTTAACAAATTGCGACTACAAAATAATAGCCTTCGTATTTGCAAAGAGACTACAAATAATTATGGACAAACTCATTAATAAAAATCAAACTGGATATATCAAAGGAAGATTTATTGGTGAAAATGCAAGGTTAATACTAGATATATACGATTATTGTGAAGAAAATAATGAAGAAGGAATACTTTTGTTTGCCGATTTCCAAAAAGCTTTTGATTCAGTTGAATGGAACTTTTTGTTTCAAACTCTTAAAAAATTCAATTTTGGGGAAAATTTCCTAAGATGGATAAAACTTTTATACACAAAACCTTATTTTCATGTTAAAAATAATAACTGGTTAACTAGAAAATGTACAATGTCAAGAGGCATTAGGCAAGGATGTCCCGTCTCAGCATTGCTCTTTCTTTTTGTTATTGAAATCATGGTATTAAAAATAAATGCCTCTGAAAGTATACAAGGTTTCAAAATTGGACAGTCAGACGAAATAAAATGTTTACAGCATGCAGATGATTGCACTTTGCCAATGAAAAATACTGAATCCTTAAAAGCGTCTATTAAAATTATACAATCTTTTGGGAAAATGTCTGGTACTAAGTTAAATTTAGAAAAAAACAGAGGGTATTCTCTTGGGACCCCTAAAAAACACACGAGAGGATATAGAAGGAATTAAAATGAAAAATAAACCAATTAAATCACTCGGAATTTTCTTAGGACACGACAAAATATCTAATAATGAAAAAAATTGGTTGCATAAGCTTAAAGAATTTGAAAAAATATTAGATTCATGGAGAACAAGAAGCTTAACTTTTTTCTGAAAATGTACCGTTATTAATTCATTCATAGTGTCTAAACTATTATATGTGTTTACAGTTCTCGAAAATCCAGATGTCGAATATATTAAAAGTATAAATAAAATTATTTACAATTTTTTATGGAATAAGAGAGAGAGAATTAAACGCAATGCACTTATAAGGCCAATAAATGAGGGTGGTCTTGGTTTAATAGATATCGAATGCAAACTTAAAAGCGTAAAAGCAGGATGGATCAAAAGGCTATACAATGAGAATTCTACGCTTAGAATTTTTTTTAGATAACGCATTAAAAAGTTATGGAATAAACTTTGAATATCTGTTACGTAGCAATATTAAAAATCCGAATGATTTCAACGTTTTAAACAAATTCTCGAAATTTTACAAGAATATTTTCTGTAGTTTTAACGAATGTAAATCGTTATTACCGCGTAATAAAATTACAGAAAACTTATGGTTAAACAGTTTCATTAAACACGACAATAAACCACTATATCTAAAAAAACATGGCAAGAAGTGGTTTTCGATACGTAAAAGATCTGTTTACAACAGAAGGTATGAAAGATATTACGGATGTAAAAGAGATCATTGCATCAAAGAGTAATTACTTATGTGAATATCTAATAATGAAAAAAGCAATTAAAAAGCTAAATATAGATTACTGTAATGTAAAAAACACTAATATACAAAAACCATATTTTTATTTTCAAGGAAAAAGTAGAAACCCAGAATTTAAAAAATCAGGATTTTATTATAAAATTCTACTTTCTAAAAAGAAGCAAAGACCAATAATGGAAACGAAGTGGTCAAAAGAATTCAATATAACAAATGGTCAATGGAAAAATATTTATACAGCTAAGATATTAAATGTATTCGATAAACAGATAGCAGAATTCAATTTTAAACTTTTACATAACCAGCTGAATTGTAATTATAATGTAAGTAAATGGAATAAAGAGGTGGAGAAAAACTGTACAAGTTGTGGACAAATAGAATATATTGAACATTTAATTTTAGAATGTTCGGATACAAAAAGATTATGGGAAAAAATATCCAAAATATTGAAATTAAATATATCCTGGAAAAATATTGTTGTAGTATTTTTTAATGAGTTTAATGAAACAACAAAAATTTTTAATAATATCATATCAATTGTAGGTTACAAAATATACAAGTATAAAATGAAATGTAGATTACAAAATGAAAATGTAAATGCACATGCAATGATATCTTTTTTAAAATCATCATTATATCAGTATTATTTAATAGCAAAGGATGCAAAAAGTGTTAAATTAAATTACCATCTTTTAAAAAAGTTAGCTGACCAAATATGATTTTCTTTGTGATTATATGTATTTTGAGAAGTATATAAATTAAGTATAGATATTTCATCTAGAAAACTTATTTTATTTACAAAAAATATTATACAATGATATATAAGCATATGTATAGAAATGAAATGTCAACAATGATATGTATACGTACATGTGTTTTTTTTTCTTTTCTCATTTAATGTATATAATTTTGTAAATTAAATATTATAATAAAAATACAGATCCAGGGAGCTCCTGGCACCCCAGGTGAGGTATATACAGAGGGCTTCTGCGGAAGTTTTGCCTCGATATTTTGTTGTATGTTAATGAAAATAAATATATTATTCATTAAAAAAAAAAAAAAAAAAACAATGCAAGAAATAACATAAAAATCCCTAAGTTATTGGCACCTATTTTAAAAATTAAAAATAACTGATCAGCTTAATACGTCATCTTAATTTACTGTGTAAAATCATAATGATTTTAATGAATCAATTTTATCTTCAACACATACATCACTATATGAATCATGTTTTTCCTTCTCTGTTTTAATCCAACCCAAGTCTGCATCAAATTTCACATAGGAAAATAGAGTATCATATCCAAAGGAAATAATATTGTCATATACTCCTCTGTACTTTGTAGGCAAGAAAAAGAAACTAAAATATTGCGCTGGGGGCCAGATAGGAAGTTCTGCGATGAAGAGGGCTATGCTCTTTGGTAGAATCTCTCTGTTAATGTCACTCAAACTTTTCTTTTCAAATAATGATGTGGTATATAAGTACAATGCGATCACTATTGGAGAGCAGATGACCTGATCAATCACAACTTTTTTGGTCACGATTCTGAAACACCGTCCTGGGAATATTCGATCAAGGTACATGTACCAGTAATGTATGAATGGCCCAATTATGAAACCCGCTGCTGCCACCTTTCCAGAGCGAACAGTGTCTAAGCCTTTCATTTTCTTCTTTTTTACTTGCAAATGCTGTGCAAGAAGATCCCCAGCCCCATAAAGTCCAACCGAAACTGTAGTGGTGGTCCAAATTAAGTATCTGTCATTAAATAAGACCTGACTTTTATTGGCTATTCCTCGGTATACACTGAGAAGCTTCCCTAGGGTCATTGCACTTTTTATTCACTTCACTTTGAAGACAGAAACCTGTTGAAATAACAACCAAATATGATGAACACAGTAATCAAATTGGATTTCATTAATCAACTACAACCTGTACTCTAAGTTGAAGGTGACAGGGCAAGCACTTTCTGATTTTTTCAAAACCATTAAAATATATTTGTAAAAAAAAAAAAATAAATAAAAAAGTAGTGATATGCAATGTTCAGTTTCTTCCCATAGGACAGGGACACCAGACTCATCTCAGGCAATTAGGTAGATACATGTATAATTAATCAGGCCTCTGCTTGCACGTGTACAGATGGCTGTACTTCAAGAATTAATTTTCTAACAGGCCAGCACCATAAATATCTTATCAGAAATTACACATATAATATTTATCACTGTTTATCAACGTTTCAGAAATGTATATTAAATGCATAGTGCTACTAAAGATATTGTTGACATAAATAAGTTATAAAACAATTGAAAGTTCGAATTATCTCAACTACACCTGTAAACATTTGGCTTTTTACAATGGAAAGAAAAATAATAAAAATTGTAACGTGTTCCTTTAAACAACTACATACCTTAGTTAGATTATACTGTGTTTTTTATGATACGAAATACTGGAAAAAGGTATAGCCCCCACTGGAATAATCATCTTGCCGATCCACGGCCACCTTGCATAACGAAACCTTACTCTTTTCACGCCTTCTTTCTAAAGAGCGCACATAAAGGGAGAGAACGCCTGCAGAACAAAAACTTAAAATCTTTTGGATATATTTGTATTCGAGGCCCGTAGAACGCGGGAAGGGGGCGGGGGCCGCCCCCACTTTTTCTGAGTATATAGTATTTTGCTAAAGTAAATTTTCCTTTAGATGCTGGTTGCCCCTCCCCCCTTTTTGATGTTGTAAGGTCAAGTAGTGGCAAATTCAAGGATTTGGACGGTAAATTAGCTTTTTTTTTGGCTTGTCAGACAAATTTTGGGAAGTTGCCCCCCCCCCTTTTTGAAACCGTTGCTACGGGCCTGTATTCATATACCCCAGATGGTGTCTTTGTTTTAAATAAAAAATTGAAACTTGGATATTTTTGGTACTTTTAGTTAATTCATAGACCTAAAGCTTTAGGTCTATGGTTAATTTAAACAATATCACAAAAATGATAATTGTAATAATGTGTACCAGTTCACCATTGTTCACTGAAACAAATGCCTCAAGTTGTTTCTTTTCAATTAAAACAGACAGGGACATAGATATGTAAGTCTTTGAAAAAAAAAAAAAGAACATGAAATGACTGACACAAGCTTTTTTTGCCGTTATATAAAAGAAAAAGGGTTGTAAAATAATGTCGTCAATTGAAAGTGAAAATGGATAAAGTCAAGAACAATAGCTCCACTTTAAGGTAAATAATTTAGAAAACCCCCTTTCCATTAATAAAAAAAAGTCGAACTTGCAGCCATGTCATATTTCATTTGAACCATACTCAGATAGTAAAATCAGATTTGCAAATCTGTTGTGTAATAGTCATAAATAAATAATAATAATAAAGATTATGAACGGTTTTTTTTTAACTTCTACAAACGATAATATATGATGAAAAAGATGAAGATAACGAACAGTGATCGATCTCAAATTCTTGAGAGAGAGAGAAAAAAGAAAGATAAATTTGTGAACAGGTTCGCCTGATAGAGGTCCAGAGGCGGGATCAGGTGTCTAGAAGGAGTAAGCATCCCCTGTCGACCGATCGCACCCGCTGTGACCCCTATGTATTGACCAGGTAGACAGAGTAATTAACCCATAGTCAAAATTAGTACAAAAACAATGGCCTTACAATAGGTATGAAACGTGTTGACCAGTCAAAAATACGTCCCAATGATAGGTTAAATTTTCAAATAAGGCCATTATAGATTTTTGAAATGCGGACCTTAAATTAAGTTGTTGAAATCCCCGTTACATGGCAGTAGGAACCGGGGGGCCGTGCCTGTGCTTGTGCCCCCTCAATAATAACGTCTGATGACCTTCTTTTTTTTTTTTTTTTGCTTGTCAAGGAATTTTGGTACTTGATAGTCCCCCCCCCCCCCAAATTGTAAATGTATAGTTGTGCCCCCTCAAAGTGAAATTGCTTCCTATGGGCCTGCGTTACATAAATTTATTTGTCAGTAGCCTGCCTCGATTTAAAAATTGCTTGTGCTTGGAGAATGCTCTTGCATATTGAATAAGTTGGGAGACATACAGACATCACATGCAGGCGATAGTGTAAGATTACATAAATAAAGCAAACGATGATCGAAAGGTTGAAGTCGTCATTTGTCATAGTTATCGTCTATGACGATAATGGCCTTCGACTTTTGTCGAATGCATGAGATAAATTAAGTCTTTCACATGAGATTATTATCTCGTTCGCAAAAAATAAGTATCTCATTCGCACGACTTATCATCTTGTTTGCACAACATAATATCTCGTTGCACAACATAATATCGAGCGAAAAAAAAAGAAAAAAAAACTTCTCTTGTGCGAACCACATACGTCGTGCAAACAAGATCATAAGTTGTGTGAACGACAAAATATCTCGTGCAAACGACACATTTTCCAACAAGAGAAATTGTTATTCAATTGACTTATAATTGCTTAAAATATGCAAAAGGTTTTCATCAGATTCCCTTGTCTAAATAGAGGTTGTGCTACCAGGTTAACACTAATGCGGGGATCACGTGGCCTGATGTACAATGTACACCTTGCTGCAAAACTCCCCGTTGATGTCTCATCTAATTGCAAACTTTTGACCTTGCTGCATCATGTTTACTTTTGGAAGTGGTAGAAGTCCCCAGATCAAAACATTTGATAATATTATACTGTCGTGTAAATAAGTTGAATCTGATTCGAGGAACATAGTTAAAAAACACAGTGACTATTATCCTCTGAATAATGAAACCGCGCCCTCAATCGTGATAGAACATAGTAATAGTCAACATATTGCTTAACAACAGGTATTCTCAAAAAAAAACATTGACTGCACACAGATTTTATGTGCGCACAGTATTTGTATACAGCCTTCAATATTGAATATAATATAAAAAAAAAAAAAAAATCAAGTGTAACTGCACCTAGGTTGACAATGGTTCTCTTAGGGTGAAAATTTTCAATGTTTCACTCAACTACATTCTCTTTCGTGGTGGTAGGGGTCCACGTTTTCTAGAGGGCGGGAAGGGGGGGGTTCCAAAGTAATTTTTATTTGTTGCAGTATGCACATGTAATAACTCTGCAAAATCCAATGGGGGGGGGGGGGGGGGGGGGTTAGACCCTCCCTCCAGATCCGGGCATGTACAATGTACGTTTCATGTAAAATGGTCTGTTCCTTTACTCCGTAAATGAGTCCCGTTCTCTGTACTTATCAGTACTTTACTATTTCATTGCTTTCTGTTTTTGATTTCCAGTTAATTCTATAATACTATAATCTATGATGATAATGCTTGGTGGCAGTAATGATTGACATTGGGCCACACCTTTATCTGCATGGTAAAACTCAGTCAAAGTTCAACCTAATTCTTCCAAACAGTTCATCAATGAAAGACTAAATCTGGTAAAACTTGCACCATCAAAAGCTAAGAACTCGTACTTCTTTCGAGTTTAAATTAAAAAAAAAAGTGTTCATTCATACTTTATTGAATCTAAAAATCAGTCAATACAGAGACACATCTTCTTGACGTCCATAACATCGGCCCATCTACAGGTAACTTCATCCTCTGCCAGACAACTCCCTCCTCTTTCCTATTCAATTCTTTTTTGTGTATTTTTTTTTTTTTTTCAAAAATCAAAATGCTATTTTTTTCTATGGGGGTTATCTGATTTTTTTTTATTCTTATCTTTTTTTCTAACTTTTTTTTTTTTTAATTTCCCCTCTTTTTATATATATACTAGTGAAATTAAACCACTCCAATGATCATTAAAGGTTTACAAAAAAACCCAAACACAAATCACTTTACACACAAAAAAAAAAACAACTAAAGCAAACAGAATTTACTTTTCAAACAGATATACATATGCACATTGGAGTGATTTTTACACAGTATTGATGCATGGCACCGCTCAAAAAGCCAAGCTACACCAATCTGCAAAAGAAACTAAGAAATAAATCACAAAGAAAATGTTAAAAAAAAAAAGAAAGCCTTCATATGGACCCTCCCACGAGCATCTAAATCTTTTCTCTCAGGAATTGTCCTAACATAAACCGGAGACGACAAATATTGGTCAACATATTGCACACATGAACATGATAAAAACAAGATGGGCACGTTAAAATCTTATGGTTTAGTGAATAATCAATAAAAATGAACCTTCTTATTCAATATATAAACATTTTTTTCCGGAAGATTTTTGAATATTTTGATGGTTTAGGTTCCTTTTATTTCTTTTAATATAAATGCCAAATATCATTTTTGTTGCTGTATTTGTTTTCTTTTGAGATTTTTTTTTGTTTGTTCTTGTATTTTTTTTTTTGTTTTGTTTTTGACGTTAAGATTTTGATGATATCTATCTTCAGTATGGAGAATAGAACGCAGCTCTTCTGAATCGACTGAAATGAAAAATACAATAAAATCAAGTGATATTTTAGAACAATTATCTGTCTGGTGTAAGTAATGCCCTATAAAGTCTAACATATAAAGTATAACATAAAAGGTGCAATTTTTTCCAAAACTTGTGTAGATGATATAACTCACCATGATAACAAAAGACTGATGTCAGGTGTATGAAATTCTTAAAAAGGGGGGGGGGGGATTTGCAATTCCTGAATATTTTTTTTCAAAAATAACAAAGAAGACATTTAAAATCCCTTCAAGTTCATTGATACCATTTAAAAGATACAGGTCTTGTGGTTCACTTAGTCAACATACAAGTACTTTGCACACTGTTAAGTATTACATGAATAAGTATCACTTAAGTACAAATATCAGAAATGCAATGTCAACTGCAAGTCAAGATCATTCCAAGAAAGATCAAGATCATGATTATATTCTGATTTTTTCTATATTTACTAAAAGATACAAGCTGATGACTACCTGGAAACTATAAAAAAAACAAAAACAATCTCTTAGGCCGCAGCATTACTGCAGTAAGTCAAAACCTCATCCAACTTCAAAAATGCTTACCTATGTTGCTAAAAGCATGTGAAACAGACAGGTGATATTGATATTTCACACCCAAAGTTTCGCATTCCCGTGTATATATCAGTTCTTACACATGCCATATTGTTCAATTCTAAAAATTATATTACCAACAAATTTGAAGATGGTCTTTTTTTTTTTTTGTCTTTATCATGTAACTGTTGTTAAGTTTTGTTAATTAAAGTTATTGGAAGTTTTTAAGAAACAACTCCCACTATGATCATCGCAATCGTTAAAATTTGATGGAAAACATTTAACATAGTTGGATATTAAAACAATTCTACCCACAATGAACAGAAGCTTTATAAAGAAAAGATGTTGGATTTTACAAAATTGGTGAAAACTTTGAAAATTGAGAGAGAAAAAAAATGCTAAATCAAGAATTTCTAAAAATCAAAGAATCTATAACCAACTTGTCATTACTTGGCTGACTGAGATCACTTCCTTATTTTTTGATTGTTTATCATTGGTTAAAATTGTGGAGTACATGTATTCATTTTAAATTTACTGAAAGAACATGTTATGAAAAAAAAAAGACTCCCATTTATCCTACTCTGTTCAATATAATTTTATTATATGCAATTATATAAAAAAAAATGTACCACTGCTATTTCATTAACAGATGAACATGAAACCCTCCCCAAAAGCATTACCTTGGTCTTCTGGGTGTGTATCCTCCCCCTCCATATGGACTCCTAAACCTCCCTCTCGGTCTGAATCCCCTTGGTTTTCTATTGGTTGTACTGATTCCTGGTCTGTTGGTTCGCTTTGCACTGACCTGTAATTTTAGACAAGTAAGTTCATAAAAGATTAAAGAAATGGCTTTAGCCAATCATTGATAAAGCCAAACATAGAAAACTCAGCAATTACATGTACTCGTAAATGAATCAACTGATTCAATGCTAAGAATATAAATTAGGAAAGTGCTCTTGAATTTAAATAATGCAAAGAAAATAAATTAGGAAAGTACTCTAGAACTTTAACTTAATTTAGATCTAGCTTTCAAAGTCAATTCGATCCTACATTTAGTCACCACTAAAATGCTAAATGGTTGGAAGTTTAGTCAGATAAGTCTACATCATGCCTTTCCAGACAGGACAACTCAAATCTTACCTTAATCTGCCTGCCTCTGAACAATGATTCATCCAGGGCTTGGGCAGTGGTCACCGAATCTTTGTCTGCAAACTCCACATAGGCAAATCTACAAAATATATACTGGTACATACAAATGCTAATAGCATTTCATTCTAGAATAAGCTATAATAATTTTGAAAGAGGACACTCAATTTATCCAGTTTCACATAGACAAGAACATAGGTACCTCTATTTACAAAGAGATATCCATTCACTAGTACATTCAAAATGTTACTCTTAATTCATTCTATTAAATGCTTACAAGCTGATTGATACTGGACTTTTTTCCCCCTAAGTGTCGGATTTGAATGCTGTTTTAAAATAATTTACCCTTTTGGATGGCCAGTGTATTTATCACAGAGTATGGTGACCCTATTGACAGAGCCACATCCATGGAAATGTTGTTCCAGTTCTTCTGCTGTGGCTCCATAGTCAACCTGTACAAAAATTCCAATAAACAGAGTAACATACCAAAGATCTGTGAAAAGGACCCACAAAAAGCAGCTTGCTCATGTAAACATTTAAATACTTGCAAAAGTTACAAACAAGCAAGGTGACTGCATGAATGAGACATGTAAAAAATTCCTCATAAAAGATGCAATTTTTAAAATTTTTAACATCTACCTACGGGACACAAAATCAGTTCGCAATATCCATAAACTTGCTATATCAGAGTTTGTTATAACCATTTAATTTTACAAGGAACTGTTGAAAATTTCGCCAGGGATCCCAAAAACTCACTATATCTATAAATTCGCTACATCTGCGTTCGTACTAAACAAGTTCTGCTGTACTGGTTTATCCATATCATCTGAGAAAGTTTATTCAGTGAATAATGTTTCTTTTAACTGGTAAATTCAATAGTGCAATGCAGGTACATGTATTACTTACATTCCCAACATAAACTGATCTTGTGTCTGCATCCATCTTTTCTTCTGGTGTTGGAAAAGGACCTACAAATTAAACATTTAAATAATAGTAATTTATTTTTGTGAAACCAATAATACATGCCTTTATGCTGCAAACATATTTTGTATCAAATATATGTGGCGTACCAAATAAATATCTCAGGAATTTTCCACTACATTTTTGGAATGGGTCCTGGGCCCTTGGAATTGGGAACTTAACAAAATTTTATCACTAACTGGGAAATCATCTAGCATATGACAATTTTCAAGAAATAAACACAAATGTTGAATAAATTTGACCTTTATTTAATTATTCAGAGCTTTCATTCAAAGAAGAGACTAATTACAAATTGTCAGTCATCAATAGAACAAGGCTTCCCTTAACTCAGATTTTTTCTAAAGGGTCCTAGGGGCCTGTATTCTGCCCCAATCCCAATGATAACAAGTTCAGACACTGGGAGAATATGTAACACAACAAATATATCCCCATGGCATATAGTAATAAAATAATTTTTAAAAAATTGAATTAAATGTAGTAAAAATTTAACAGCGTAAAAAATTTATCACATGTATCGTTTCGGGGTCTTATACCACTTACAAAAGTAATTAAACATTGATGCAGCAAGGTCAAACGTTTATGTACAGATGAGTCCTCAGCTGGGAGTGTACATCAGGTCATGTGCTCCCAACATTAGTGTCTGCCTAGTAACACAACCTTTATTCATAGAGACCCAGACAGGGAGACCTGATGAAAACCTTTGGCATATTTTAAACAATTAATCGTCGAAGAGGGGAGAAGGTATATTATTAATGTTTTTTTTTGTTTAGAGAATTTCATTTATTTTGTTTAATTTTATATTTGTATCGACTCAAAGGCAGGATGAGCATACATACTACATTCTTACTCATAAATTTGATATGGCGGTGAGGAGGCAGCATTTCTGGTTGAACACCGTAACAAAAGCCGACTACTGCTCTACGAGCAATGAGCCCGGCTAAAAAGTATCTGTTTTTCCAAGTTTCATAAAATAAAATTCCCAAAAGACAATTGAAACAAACAAATATGGTTTAAAAATATCGGAACTCAGTAACACGGGTGATTTTTTTTGCAAATGGAAATGGGGTTAAAATTCGCACCTATATGGGGCAGTGGAAAATTTATGTACCTATCTTCAAAAATACTTTGACAATCATTTTTTGTGCAAGCATCAAATAAAAAATAATGTTCTAGCTTGAAATATTGTGTGTTAAGTGTACTTTTTAAAAATATATATACAGTTGTGAACATGGTTATCTCGAAAACACTGATATCACGAATACCAAAGATATGTTGAAGTGAATTGAAAGTCCCTACCAATTATTCTTTTAATAAGTATAAAACCCTTGATATCTTGAATACTGGGATATCTTGAAGTTTTTTCTCGGTCCCATCGAGTTCGAGATAACGAGGTTTGACTGTATATATATTTGTTGAATATAAATCAATGAATAAATATTTTTATAAAATAATTAATTGAAGTCCTAAATACAGTCAAACTTGTCATAGCGGTAACCATTATCCAGCGGTCACCTGTCCTATGCGGTCATTTTATTTCCTTCCAATGAATTTTCCTATATAATGTAACTCTATTAAGCGGTCACCTGCATAACACGGTCAGCGATCATCAAATTTCATGCAAAATCGCCGTTTTACCTCGTATATAGTGGCCATTTTGTCCGATCACGTGACCAGAGTTAAAGTCAGATGACTCCCAATTTTTGTCACTAATGTAAATAATTGGTCTTATGTAGCGAGATCATGGAAAAAATAATTTGCCTTATTTAAATTATTTAAAATATTGGATATTTTATTTGTTTTTTTAACAAAACTAAAAGGTTGCTAGTGACCGAAAAGGTTATCAGGAAAACGGACATACGAGAATCTTAATCTTATTGAATTGGAATCTGGTTTAAAAAATTCTGAGTGATATTAAAAAACAAGGCATCCTTGTTTATCTATTAATGGATACAATAATTAGGTGTTTCCTAATTATTAGTTCACGTTTGGCATGCCCAACTCCGATAGGTGTAATTGTGTAAATGCATGGCAGGCCGTTTTTAACACATAAGAAAGGTATTATTTGTAGAAACCCTAATTAACTGTTTTGTATACTTGATGTGTCCTGATTATACTTGATGTATCCTTATTAAGACGACCGTTAGGATTAGTCACGCTTCATTGCTCACAACACCTGTAAATTTGATATCAATTTGTACTATGCCCTGCTTTGATAAACTGAGAATATTATGACTTGTCCGTTTATTACGCTACTATTTATGTATTATTAAACATACAATTATCAGGACTAACTAAATTTGTTTTTTTTATAGGCAGTTTAGATAAAAATACATTATATTTTATTCATGGCACAACATGATAATGTAATCTCATAATAAAAGAAAGTTTTGTTGTTGTTTGGATGGAGGATAATGCAGTGTCCTATTACACTCAATATATTTTTGTTGGAGTCATCAAATTTAGCTTGAATTTAATCTTGAGACTATTAATTTTATTTTTTTTTTTTTTTAAATTCTGAGACCATTGATGTCCAAAACACATCTTTCTTTAATATTTTATGATGTAGTATTTTAAAACACAGATCTTACATAAATTGGAAAAGAATTTTTCTTAAGAAAAGATGAACCTCTTTTCAAAGGTCACCTCTCTATAAAGGTCACTTTTAATGGTTCCCGAGGGTGACTGCTTAATACAGGTTTGACTGTAATTCAAACAAAGTCACAAACAATCTTATCGCAAGTCCCGAACAGTTTTACTAGTTAGATCCCAAAATGTCAGGCATCGGCCATGTAGTTGGCTTAGTATATTTCAAATGAAATCCGTCAGAAACACCATTTCAACTTACTAGCGGTGGTTGGGGACGTCATGTTCATCTGTGTATCTACTTCTTTTTGCATTTCTTTAAGTTTTTCTGCTTCTTCTTCCATTTCTCTTACTCTTGCCTTGATTGCTTCTAGTTCCTTTGAATTTCAATAAAACTTAATAATTAAACTTTTTCAATGAAACTTATGCATTCAAAGTGTATTTAATAATCAATTGGATTCAACTATGGAATCCAAATTTCTAGCCTTCTTTTAAACACATAAGTACTAAAGTGAAAGTGTTATACATTAAAACTTTGCATTCAATTCACAATACTGTGTTGTGTTGCAAGCCTACTGTATGCTTTAATATTCAGGCCTAATGTATGCTTTAAAATTCATCTAAAATTTTACAGTATCATATTTTTACAATGCTAAGCCATTTATGCTGTTGGTTTTAGGGCTGGGCAATAATACCGATGTTCTGGTATATTGTGGTATGTTGACAAAAAATATCATATTGCAATTAGGGATGGGTATCGCATAAAATTTTGTATCATGATATATCACAATTTTTTCCCAGAATATCACGATAATATTGTGATATTTTTACACACAATTTTTACAACAAATTCCAATGAATTTCCATTATATTTCTTACAAAGATGCTATAAAATCTTAGCTTCACTTTTTAAATTTTCATTTTTATAATATAAAGCATGTTTGGGTGCCATTGTTTAAATTTTTTCAACATTCTTTACACTTTCTGTAATTGATATTCAATGGTTTGAACAAATAAATGAATAATTTCTGGAATTTATAATTATATACCAAATACCAGTATTTTAGTCTCCGTATCACGATACGTATCACGTTATAAAAAATCACGATATACCAGTATACCGATAAAATCGCGCATCCCTAATTGCAATACATTTTTGTAATACCGATATACTGGCAAAATATTTGGATTCACGAATTCAATCATAAAATATAAAGAAAGGTTTGCGATCATGCCAAACAGTAAGACAAAAGATATATTTTATTGTTTATTACATGTAATCATAGTTATACATTCTACATGTAAAAGGAGGTTAATATAACAATACCATTTAAATTTTTGTTGAAAATATTGCAATATATATCACAATACAGCTGAAAATATAGCAATATATGGCAGGATTTCCGGAATCACTTTGTCTGAGCTTAAAAGTATTCAAAAGCTGCAATGGTAGAACTATCTTTTATATGGGTTGCTTTTTTTTATATTAAATCCATGGTAAAATAGTACATGTACATGAATAGTCAAAACTAGCAACATTTTGCCTATTTCTTACCAAAAAAAACTTTTTCGTGAAAAACTGCATATCATACTGGGACCAATCGCCCAAATGGGATATAATAGCCCGTTTGGGATATAATATACCTAATGGGATATAAATTTACAGTGCAAAAAAATGAAATTTTTTATTTTGGCTATAAATATCACCCATATGGGCACCTAATTGTGCTCGGGTTAAAACTGGGATATATAAATGTAAACAGAGTGGGACTTCTGGAATACACATCTGTTATCATATGTATACACGCTTATTTGAAATTAAAGTGTATTACTTACAGGGTCATCTGCCGTAGAATCGTCTGCGGCATTTGTATCTCCTTCAATTTCCCCACTCTCCAATAACTGAGCTTCGGCGTCGAATTCATTATCATTTTCATTATCTTCGTGAAACTGTTCGGTTTCGTTGTCAATTTCAGACATATTGAAAAGACACAGTTTCCGATAAAAATGAAATTAAAAACAAAAATATATGCTAATTCATCCCAAAACCTCCGTTTGGTGAAACTGGTTTTGTAACAAGAGGATTACGGCTGATTGTTATGTGTCCCCTTCCCCTTAGTCCTCTCTTCCAAACCGGCGTTATTTACACAACCTATTTTAACTTCGCTGTCAGAAGAGTTCCATTACTGACAATATAATATCAGTAAAATGCAAGTACTTAACCATAAGTATTGTGCACGTTCGCAATTAGTTAAATATTAAAATATAAAAACAATTCACCACTAATACTTAATTTTAATGTGTTACAAAGTGAAATAAATACAGGTTTAGTACAATCATATTAGCATTCAATAATATTGAAATACCATACTTATTATTGCAAAATATATTGCGAATGGGACCAGTTTTAATATGAAAATACTATCGGAAATAATATCTTCTTTATGTCAAAATAAATTTGAAATGAAATAATTATATAAATAGGTAGGCTGATGAGCACATCACATGCTGCATATTCTTGAATATCTAGTCGTAACGTCTATGGAGCAATTAGTCGCACCCTGCATTATTTATTTTGGAAAAAAGTGATGTTCACCAAGAAGAACACAACAAGGAATCATTAAGGTGCATCTTGGTTGGTAAAGTAACAGTGTACTGCTTGTGTTTCATTGGAAAATAAATGTTTTGTTCAATTATAAAATATCTATGAACATTGAATATCACGAAGATAATTTATGCAGACAGACATTTTGGATAAGAAAGGTAGGCGACAAGGTTAGCCAATTTGGCAGCCACTGTTAACTTGTCAATTTAAGCTCTGTATGATATTTTTTAAAAAATGCTTCCAGTAGAACAACTTGATTGGTATGATGATTGGAGATTGGTAATTTTAAATCTTTGTTCATGATGGATTTATAAATTGTGAAGAATTAATTTCACTCAGTATCATTATTTTTTTGCACAAGACTAGTGGTTCCTATAAATACTTTGTTAAATATTTTTGTACTTTTTTTGTTATGAAGTTTACAGTTAAGACTTTTTGATAATCATGATGATAGATTTTCAGGTTTTACGTTAATTCATAGAATTCTCATCATATTTTAAATTACAGATGTTTAGGTCTCCTGGAAATTTTTCGCCAGATGTTCCAAACACATTTAAAGAATATTTAGGTATACATATAACTGGAAAGGTAAGAATTAAAACTGTAATCTTTTGTTTTTCTTAATTTATTAACTAGTGAGGGAGTAGACTTTACTTACCGGTCCCCAGATCCGCAAGATCCAGGTACTCATTGCACTATGACGTAAGATTTATGTCACCCAACTGATAAGGGTTAGTCTTGCACACTTATCAACTGGTTAAGGTTAGTCTTGCACCTGCCCAAGAGATTAGGGTTAGTTCTTGCACAAATATCAGGGGCGTAGCTTCCATTGTGGCAATGAGGCAACTGCCTCACTAGATTTTTCACCACCACCACCCCTCCCCATAATCAACAATACATTGCAGATAATATGTAAAATTAATGGCATTTCTTTTAAGATTTTAAGCAGTTCTATTATGTTGAATTGAAGTTTTAAAGAAATAAAAGCAAAGTTTAATAAGATGCGCTTTCACCTTTAAATGTTTCAAAAGTTTTAGTAAACATATTTATTAACTCTTTTACATTCTTTTACAATATGTAGAATCATGCTGAAGTCTTAAATAAAGAAACCAGTACAACAAATGAAATTTCATTGCATTTAAAACCTCCAACTCCATTTTCTGTCGGAGTGCCCCCCCCCTTTCCATGACACCACCCGGAACCTGCTGGGGGCTTAAGGTGGCCCCAGACCTCTTGCTGCTATATGTATGGTTTTGCCTCACTAGAATTTAAAGTCAAGCTACGCCCCTGAATATTCGACTGATTAGGGTTAGCCTCGAATCCATCCGAGAGCTTAGGGTTAGTCCTCCCACATTATTTGACTGATTAGGGTTAGTCTAGCATCCGCTCACGGATTTGGGTTAAACCTCGCATACCATCCGAGAGATTAGGGTTAGTGTATTCACTGTCTTGTTCTTTTAGATTAATTTTTTTAAACATGTGAAAGAAATTCAGTTGCATAGAGTGCATTTTTTGCTAGATCTTAATTCAGCTTCAACGGCAACTTATTGGTTTGTTTACATTAAAAAAAAAAAAGTTTAAGTAGGAAAGAAATGTTACTAAGCATGCGCCACACACACTTTGTTGACTATTAAGCATTAATTGAATTATTATTATTTGAAAGATATATTTAGTTTCATAAGTGCAACGGTGTGTGCTAACAAATTGAGTAATATGTGTTAGCACATCATGAAAATTTGTTTGCACACACCGTTGCAGTTATGAGACTATATCTTTCAAAAAATAATGAACCACTGTTTATGTTTACATTTTTTAACTCCTAGCTTTGACCGCAAATATAGTTTATATTTCGAAATCCCTGTATTATCCTTCGGGTAAGTTGTAGTTAATGGAAGAGCCATTGCAACAGCTTCTGTTCAATGTGAATGAGAATTTATATTTTCACTTATGACGTTGCACATCCATGGCGTTCAGTGTTTGTGACATCAAAGTAAAATGCATCCTTTAACCTTTTGACCCCCTGTCCTTGTTATGGTGTTTTGAATGACATAGCTCTCCACACACTTTTAAAGCAAAATACATGTGTAATGTAAATATTTCTTTTTTTTGTCAATTTTTCACTGAATAAACAATATTCATTATTTTTTTCAGAGAACGAGGTAAAAAAAACTTTATTTAAAACAAAGTTTTAAACTAAACTTTTAACCATAGAATTTGTTTTTGGGGTCAAAAAGGCCAAAAACCTTGTACTTTTTATTGTTTTTTGATCCCTTACTCGATCTCATATATATTGAAGTCACCTGTGATGACACTTTATTTTAGCATGTTTTTCTGGGGACTGGTAAAGTCATTCCTAGTGAGGCATAACTATATATCGATAAATATCTTTTTTATTAGTTGAGAAATAAGGATGTAATGATGTACATGTTCCTTTGAATAAAAAATGGGATGCTTATATTATTGCATTGTCATTTTCTCTACATAATGTAGGATGGGTGGTGGGAAAATTGAGCAATTATTATGTACTATTTATTTCATATAATATCAGAAATATGTACATGGAACTCTTGTTTTACAATGAAGTCATAGATCTAGTGGCAGATCTAATCTCTTAAAAAGAAAAAATTAATTTGAATCATATCTATTATTTCAATTCAAAACAAAATTAACGACTTTCCTTCATTAATAATCAGTGGATAAAAATTTGAAACTGCTTGAGCACATTTCGTGTATAAGGATTGATAAAATACTTTTATTGTTGTAGAATTATGACCAGTAGAGTGGATAGGACAAAAAATGGAGGAAGAAGCTGTCTGTCAAAAGAAAATCTTAACAAACTTGGATGGAAATCAGGAAAGAAAAAGAGACATGGATACAGAGGCAACCAAGGGAGACTTACTTATAGATGCCCAAAGTCCAACAGAAATATGTAATTCAGAGAAAAATGTAGAAACTAGGAGTAATTTAGAACACATTGAACAGAAAAATATTGGAAAGGGGGTAGAGAAATGTTTAACAGACAGGGACGTAACAAATATACAGTTTGAATTCCATGAAGTAATAACCAAAAATAGCGAAAATCAAATGATCAGCCAAGACCTTCATAGCTCAGAGAATCAAGTAGAAAATGACACAACCAATCAGGGTATTACAGATGCATTTATAACAACCAAAGATGTAAACCAGAAACAGGTGTTAGAAACAAGCCAAGAGCCTGATAGGGCGCTCATCAATGATAATTTTGAAAAGCATAATATTTCACAAAATTCCTGCTGCAATAATCTTCAAATACTCAAAGCAGATGATTCAGAAAGTGTGCACAATCAAATAGAAGAGAGTTTAACAAACTCAACTATTAGTTTCTACAAAGATGGTTTCCAGATACAAGTTAAGGAAGAATGCATTGAAAATTTGGAAAGTCCGTGCAATCACAATAAAGATTTTGTTTCAATGACTGAAAATATAGATAAGGAACGAAGACCTATAGCAGCTAATGAGGGAATGAATCTCAATGAACTTGACACAGAATCTGAAGATATACCAAAAAGTTTAAAATCAGCACCAAAGAGAAGGGGAAGACCTAAAGGTAAAAGTTCCAGTAAAAGCAGCTCCATGAAATCCAAGAAGACCTTTCAAAACAAAGAGGAACAAGTTTGTGACAATAAGAGAAAATCAACAAGGAATAAAGCATTGTGTACAGATCTGAGCAAGAAAAATAGCAAAACCAATAAATTCAAAGGTGCCAAAGAAATGAGGGTTGAGATCTCAAGACTGAAGGACAGTGTTGGGGATATAAATGAATATGGTGGTCTCCAAAAATCTTCAAAGAATATTGCAAACTGCAAAAGCAATTCTAAGAGAAAAAAAGGCAGTCAAGTTTGCAAAGAATCCAATTTACAAAAGAAAAGGAAGGCAAGAGCTGAATTTTCTTTTGAAACTGACATTAACATAAAGCAAGAACCTGAGTCATCAGAGGAAGACAATTTTGACAACGACCCAGACTATTTTCCAGTTAAAGAAGAAGCAGAATCTCCAGTGCTCGGAAGAAGAAAGAAGCATCGTATAGGGCGTCCACCCAAAATTGGAGACAATCCTTGCAAAAAATGTGAGGCTTCATTCCCAACAAAGAGACTGTTAATAGCACATCAGAAAGTCCATGCCATCCCAAAACAGTCCTGCCGCTTCTGTGATTTTGAAGCCAAATCTGTTGTGGTTATGATGGAACATGAAGCTAAGCATACCCATGAGAAACCATTCAAGTGTGACCACCCAGATTGTGGTTATGCTTCTAGGTCAAATGTAGATTTGCAAAGACACAAATCTAAACACTCCACTGAAAAGAAATACAAATGTCCATATGAAAACTGTGACTTTGTAACAAAATGGCAGAGAAATATCCGCCATCATGTCTTGCGTCACACAGATGAGCGGCCTTATCCTTGCCATCTCTGTATTCAGTCATTTAAACGTGTTCAAGATCTCAAGTATCATTTATATCGCCATAATGACAACAAACCAATCGCCTGTGATGAATGTGATTTTAGATGCAAAACCAATTTTGAGCTCAAATGCCATAAGCTCAAACACAGTGATGTGAGGAACTATGCTTGTACCCACCCTGGATGTACACAAAGGACCAAATCAAAGAGTGACTTAACCAAACACATGAAAATCCACACAAACCAAAAAGATTACATCTGTGATGAATGTGGAAAGGGGTTCAGAACAAGAGCTTGCTTATCTAAGCATCTCCAAAGACACTCTGATATAAGACCATTTTCTTGTGATATTTGCAATAGAGCTTTCAAAGTCAAAGTTGCCCTAAGGAAACATGTTGCTTTACATTCAGAATATCGACCATACTCCTGTGAAATGTGTGGACAGAAGTTTTCCAGCAAGTCTAATAAAAATGTTCACATGAAAACCCATGATTACTCAGACAGGCCATACCCTTGTCCCGTATGTCCATATGCAGCTAAAATCCAAGGTCATCTTTTATCTCATATAGGATCCATGCACGGTAATTCCTATGCTTATTTCTGTGAAGCCTGCAAGAAACCATTTAAGAGATATGGGCAACTAAAAGTGCACCATGTAAGAATGCACCCTGAAGTTGATTTTGGAAAGTTAAAAACAGAAAATCATATACGTCAAAGAAATTCAGATGATGGTACACTTACAGACTATGCCTTTGATGAAGACACAATTGCTGGGGTTGAGGATTGTATAAATTCTGTTGTTTCAAAAACAAGGGAAGCTATGGAAATCAAAGAAGAAAATGAGTTACCCTCTGAGTTAAGAGAAGCAAAGAGAAATGAGGATTTTGCATGTTTGGCAACTGTTATTGAAGGCAAAGGACTGGAAGATGCTGCCAATGCCCGCATAATTAAGGAAAAAAGAAAGAGAGGCAGACCAAAGAAAAACAAACCTAGTGTTCAAATACAACAGCTGAAAGTGAAACAGGGAGACATGAGGGTACAGAGTGATATTGAAAAGTTACATGAAAACCTTATTTTGTCTGAAAAACTGTCAATTGCTGCAGGGAATGATGATGTTAAGGATGTCAAGGATGACAGTATTCTTGAAAATTTGAATACAGATGTCACATTGACCCCACTGACACACGATGAAAGAACAGAAGACGTTCAAGGTTCAGAGAACTCCAAGAATGAAGATTCAACCCAAGCTCCTGCAACTCTAACCATTTATGAGGGAGGATTTAGACTGCCCCTGGCCACAAAAGGCTTTAAATTCAATTTTGACAAAACTGGGAAAAAGCCCAAATCTTGGTTCATGAATCCTGACAACATGCACAAGGGAGCTAGAGAGCATCAGATGAAATACTTAGCCAGAAAGGACACAGAGTATAAGTATTACTTAAGGGCACATAGAAAGAAGCTGGTGGGCAGGAATAAAGTGCTAGAAAGCTTGGAGAGACGAAGGAAAAGTGCAGCCAAAAGATTTGCGATAGGTGCATCGAGTTTAGTAAAAAGACGTCACGGTAAGGCGCCATTCAGATTCACAAAAGTTGTGGAGGAAGACGGGAATGTTGGGGATACACAACAGCAATCCAGGAGTGGTGCATCTTCATTGTTGGATGACATTCCTGGACAAACTTTACCAAAACTCATTTTTAAAAAGAAACCAGACCAGCAAGAAGAGTATGAATGTATACAAAAAGAGGAAAGTAAAGTGGACATGCAAAGTGAAAGTAGGGAGAACAAAGAAAGAAATGATGTGGAGGATGATAAAAAGAAGGAACCATTGAGGAATTATTCATCTGTGAAAACTATTGAGGAATCAAAGAAGGGAAATGTCCAAAGTAATATAAGAGTATGTTTTAAAAAGAGAGGGAGACCAAAAACAAAGAACAAAGAGAAAAGTGATCTGAAGAACTTAACAAAAACACCACAGAGGAAAAAGAGCCAAACAAAGAAAAAATCTCACCTTAAGGATAAGAAATCAGATAGTAAGAAAAGTAATTTGCAAAGCAAGATTAAGAATAAGAAAGTAGGAAGAGAATCTCAAGGAACTTCTAAAGTAAAAAAGAAGGGGAGACCAAAGAAGAGTGAACTAGAGAAATGTGTCCAGAAAAAATGTAAGATATCCCAGAAAACTGCTGTGGCCCCTTCAAAGAGAGGTGGAAGAAAAAAGGCTCAAGATGTGAACACTGGCAAACAGTCTGCAGTTGGTAAAGGGAAGAGAGGAAGAAGATCAAAGGGTGAGGCATAAAGTCATACATGTGTACACTTACATAGATTGAGATATTTTTAATGATATACTGATAATTATTAAGTATTATTGTAGCATTATAAAATGGAAGAGAAATGGAAATGTAAAAGCATTAAATGTACCCAGGCACATACATTTGTAAAAAACAAGGCAGTATTATTTTCCAGATGAAAATATCTCTGCATTTCAAATTACCGTAATTTAAATTACATACAGTTGAACTTTGGTGTCTTGAACACTGATATCTCGAATACCATAGATATATCAAAGTGTTTTGGAAGTCCCAACCACTTATTCCTCATGTATTTTACCCTCGATATCTCGAATCTTCAGATATCTTGAAGTTTTCTCTGGATCCCACTGAGTTCGAGATAACGAGGTTTGATTGTACTTGTAAATTGTTGATTACTAGTAGATAAACTAAAGATTCTGCCTTTGCACAATATTGTCCCCAAAGGAATAATATTTTATTAATTTTGTTGTTTTGTAGGTGACTTTGTTATTGAATGGGAGACGGGAGATCAAGAAGCATCTGTGATCATAAAAAATGAGGAGGTGGATTCAGAAATGTCCGTAACAGAACCAGATATTTCTTCAGTACCTGAAAATGGATGTACAGGTAATGTGAGTACTGATGCCCTTTTACCAGAGAGATTAACTGTGGTGGATAACACTACCATGGAAACAGTAACCAGTATAAAAATAGAACCTCAGGAACAGGCCAATCACCATGGAGACTGTTATAATGGCAACCATGATTTAACAGATGCCCCTTTCAAACTAGAAGGGAGAGTACCTGATGATCTGCTGGTTATGAAGGATTATGTTAATGATATAGTGTAAATGTAGATGGTTAAATTGTTATAGATTTCGACTGTGTTGTTTTAAAAGTAATCAATATTATATTAAGGTTCATAAACCCTCTGCTCACTCATATTAAATGTTGCCTTAACTTTTATGATTTTCCAAAAGATCTGTATCTAACAAGTAAAATACAAACAGTTAAATCATGGCTTGTGAGGCAAAATTAAACAAAAAAAAAAAAGACGTCTCAACTTGACAAATCTATAAAGGAATAATAGACATTTATATCATTAATTTAAGAGTTATCTCTCTTATCAGAGTATCAATGAACCTTAATGTTTTAATTTTATTTATCTTTAAAGAGTGTGGCTTTAAAATAATTATGTGAAGCTTTCAGTGATGTAGAACTAGAAAATTATGAGGCATGGCTGCTCTTTAACAAGCCTGATAAGCTGTAGTTTGATGATCTGATGTGTTATTAGTGCTCAATTGTTATTACTATATATTGTGACTTGTCTCTATTTTTGTTGTCAGTTTATTGTCTGTTTAGTCAATCATGTTATGAAGTTTGGATTTTTTTTTTCATGATCAACATCTAATAATTGAAATCATCAACACATATTGAGTAATTTTCAAAATTAAAGACACAAGAAAGATACTAGTGAATTCTTGTAACAGTGTTTTTTTAAAAAAGAAAATCATTCTTTGGCCACATTTGTCATAATGAAGACATGTTGGCACCTTGGAGGTAGATACATTTTATCTTAAAATCAATTGCCGTTTATTTCTGTTCATCTTCTATATTATTCCTTGGGAAAAAAACCAAAACATTCTTTTGAACTCCTCCCAATTATTTCTGGATGATGAATTAAAAGTAGGGGTTAAGAATAAAAAAAAAATATTTGAATTTCTATATAAAAAAATACATTCTATAGATATGTTTTAGTTATTAGATTTGACCTCATGAATTAACACTCATATCAGATTTCTTTAATTATGGATATACAGACGTATTGGTAATTTAAATGTACAGGACTAGAAATTCAACTGTGGCTGGAAATAATATTTAATTAGGGCACAACAATTTAATTTCTTGTTCATTGGACATTTGATGAAAAAATGAGCAGGCAAGCGGTGAAATAATAATATTATTACTTTTTTGTAGGCAAATTTTTAGGAGGAGTGTGAAAAAATTTGAGCAGAAAATTATATTTTTTCTGATTTGCAGAGTAAGCAGATTTAAAATATGAAAAATAGTGCGGAAATTGAATAGAAAATAGCACAGAATTTCCATGGTGCGGGAAATCGAAATAAATATTATTTGTATAGTTTTGCTTAAATACGAGCATGTGGGTCCGACAAACAAATTTTATTGGTGTGGCCTAAAGAAAACTATAGCTTTTGTAATGATTTTATTGCACATTATAAAAACAGTCTCCATTACAATCCTGTATAGTTGAACTTCTGTATCAAAAAAAAAATTCTTGGATACCATTGATATGTTGAAGTCAGTTGGAAGTCCAAACCACTTTTTAAAAAAATATCTTTTAACCCTACATGTATCGCAAATCAAATCCATGGATATTTCAATTTTTTTTTTCTCAGCTCCCTTCAAGTGTGAGTTAGCAAGGTTAGACTATATTAATAACTAGATGAAGATTTTTTTTCTTGGCGAATGCAACTGTGTGTAAGAAGTAGGTTTTTAAATTTAAATGTTAAATGTTTGTTGGTATGTGTTGTTCCTTGTTTTCTCTCTTTATAGTCATTGTTTTTGTTGTAAAAAAAACTGTTCTCCAAAAACTTACTAGTTCTGAACAAAACCGATCTATGTTTTACAAATTGCTCATTTATATTATGTTATATATATATTTCAGTGATATTTTATTCTTGTACTTTATTTTTATTTCATGAGGAAATCCATTTGTATGCATATTTTATTTATTTCATATTTCCTTAACTGGAGAACATTATTATATTTTACATGTATATGCTTGGTATTTCTGTGGGTTTTTTTTCTCTGAAAGATCTAGATTTCTACAAATTTTGTCTATAAAAAAATATCTATTCTATTTACTATGTATATTGATCTTTAACTTTCAAGTGAACAAATGCATAATCTTTTTAAAAGGATCCATCTTGAAACAATCTACAAAGAAAATGTGCTGCATTACAGTTGTGTCATTAGAGAATGTCTATTTTAAATGTTGTTATGCTTTCAACATTAATAAAATGTTTAACAAAATATCTTTCGAATTATGGAGGGGAAAAGGCAGAATAGTAGTCAATCTTTGAAGGACAAGTATTTAAAAACCCTCTATACTGATTTCATGTTTTATATAGCTTTTTTTAAGGGGGGATATGTTCTTGGATATATATATTTTGTGGGGGGGGGGGGGGTATTTTCTTCGATACATATAAGATACAAGATTTTGGAGAAGGTACTTAGCACCATGGTTTGGCCGGGGGGGGGGGGGGGGGTTGTAGGTATTTTCTTGGATACACACAAGATACAAGATCTTGAAGAAGGTACTTGGCACCATGTTCCCATAAGCTTTTGGTTATACAGTTAAATTATACTGTCAAAACAGAATCAATGAACTAAGAGTACTGAAAGAGACGGTGGTTTCTCGAGTATATATAGTATTCACATTTCTGCATGCAAAGATTCATTTGATTTAAAAATGTTCTTGTAAGTCAGCCTTTTTGAGCTCACACAGTTTTTACTCAAATGTTTTGAATGATGACGTTGTGGGAGCTCCGAGATTATTCCATTCCCTTGATGACAGCATCCCAGGTTAAAGTTGTTGGAGCAGATTTATTTCTCGGTAACTTTATACTGTATATTGATCAGAGTTGCAAGGATGGTGTATCTTGTATATATATATATATATATATATATATATATATATATATATATATATATATATATATATATATATATATATATATATATGTATATATATATATATATACTGTTGTACCAATCGGATTTCAGATACTCATCTTCAGCCAGTATTTTCCAGAAGAATGACCAGGTTCATGTTTTTGAAGCAGTTTCCATTCCCACGTTACACAGGGGCATCTTATCTGCTCTGTTCTCTATTACACATATAATAACATGAATAAATTCAAGTGAAGAATCGAAAGTAGCACACAATTTATAAACAAAGTCGAAACACAACTTTTTTTAGATAGAAAAGTTACACAAATCCTTATATGCATTAGAGCAATTTATCCAGGCTAAAATATTCCAAATATATCCAGTGTAAATAGTTTTTATCCAAATAAAACCCCAGCTTTCAGCAAAGATTTGAACCTGCTCAAAAAAACTTTAACCTCACTCAGAAAATTAGATCAGATTCAGCATCTGAAGCAAGCCAGGAAGTGTGCATGCAATCCATGCAATTTTGGTGACCACGGGGCTTTTAGTTACTTGGGAATAAAACTCCTCTTAAAACTTTAACATGGTCACATATCCAGGAATGTAGGACAGATCCAGCATCTGATGCCAGTCTTAAAATGTACATCCCTAGATGCATCATCCATACAAACTTGGTTTAGATTGGGGCTTACACTTACTTGGGAATGAACCTGCTCCAAATACTTCAACTTGTTCACTCATCTGGAAAATGAGGTCAGATGCAGCATCCACTTGCAGTCTGATTATGTGCATTCCCAGATGTATCATCAATGTAAGTTTAGTCACCATCATGCTTATAGTTACTTTGGAATGAAACTCGCTCTTAAAGCTTTAATTTGCACCAAAAAACTTTAACTGCTCCAAAAACTTGAAACTTACTCCTAAAACTTCAACTTGCTCCAAAAATTTTAACCTGTTCACTCATCCGGAAAATGTAGGTCGGATCCAGCATCCATAGCCAGTCTGTTAATGTGCATCCCTAGCAGCAGCATCCATGCAAGCTTGGTCAAGGTAGGTCCTTATAGTTGCTTTGGAATAAACGTCCTACAAAAACTTTTAATATTTTCACTCATCCGGAAAAGTCAAGTCAGATTCAGCATCCGAAGCCAGTCTGATAAGGTGCATAGATGCATTATATTATATCCATGCAAGTTTAGCCACCAACGTGCTTATAGTTACTTTGGAATGAATCTTGTTACTTTGGAATGAAACTTGCTACTTAAAAACTTTAAATTGGTCCAAAAACATTAACGAGCTCCAAAAACTTTTAACCTGTTCACTCATCCGGGAAATGTAGGCCAGATCCTGCATCTGAAGCAAGTCATATAGTCTACATCCTATGATGCATGATCCATGCAAATTTGATCCAGGTAGGGAATTGGGAATGAGACCTACTCCTTAAACTTTAACCAGAACGCCAACGCCAACACTTCGTCTAGGTAAGCTAAATATTATATTTAGACTAAACGTGCATAGATGTTGTATCAAGGGATCACTCTATCAGAACATTTGTTTGGTGTGAGATTTTTCTTTCATTGTTGAGGTGAGCTTTGTAACCTTTGATTACCTACATTGTATGCTTTTGGATACCAGAGAGGCGGTTGACAGCTGACTTAAGATGATGGAGAAATGAAACAAGTTACTTTGTCAAATACTAACATCACAGTACTAGTACTTAAATAAATGTTTTATTGATTGTCTTCTAGTTTGTCTTACAATACAAACGAACGGCTTTTAAGTATTTGAAGAAGAAATTTTAATTAATTATTGCAATGTTAAGTAAACTTGCAAGTCTAAATATGAACATAGCAAATACATTTGACCTTGTCTGCTGCTTTCCACCGATTTAAATTCTGATTTGAGTAAACAAAACTTTCATTTTTACACACACAAAAAATCTTGTAATTGATTCCGACGTGGAGAGGAAACTTTTGGTTTATAAATTAAAGTGTAATTTTTGTACAATAGCACTTTTCCATCTCAAATTTGAATGAATCTTTTATTATATTATTTTGTCTATGTCAGATCTAGAAAGAGTAATTTTCATGTAACAAATTTTCCTAGGCAGACTTAAAAATATTTATATCTCCGATGGGCCGGATGTTTGAATATTTAATTGTATTAAATGTTTCTCGTTGTACTGTATAACACGTGTCACTATAATAAATGATTTACTTACTTACTTACTAATTAATATGGTAATCATTATCTGTATTGCTATCCTTGGGAAAATTGTTTTGTAACCAATTAACTTAATTGTCGCTGGCGATGAAACTAGCATTTGACATCTCCTGGATAAACTAATAAATAAGAATAAAATTTAATTCTTTTCCTTTTAGCTTCTTTGGAAATAAATTCTTCTCGGAATTATAGCTTAATACTTCAAATTCTATAGACAGATTTATTTGCTTGCTTTCGACCAAAGTTAAATTTAATCATTCTTTATTGAAAAATTCTTTTCCGGATTTACCGTTAATTGACACTTAATGCCTTAAATCGCTCCTGTGTTTACTCAGTGTTTAATCAGTGTCAAATAGTAGCTGACTCCTCTGTAGAGATTTAACTCTTCGGATGTGAAATCATTTTCCCATTAGGTAAGCTTGTATATTAATCTTTTGAAAATATCTGTTTTAAAAATGCTTATTTTTTTTTTAATAATGTTAAATATGTTTTATTATTTTTCATTTTAAATAACATGTTCTTATTTTATTTTTAATTTAAGATTTTTATACTATTCTAAAATTATTCAAGTTGAGAAAATTTGTTTGTTTAAACCTTATAGTTGTAGAATAATGTATTGTTCTGATTAAGTTCTATAAAGTGATGTCTTTATGCCTTGAACATTCATTTTGTACTGGTTGTTGATCGGTGATAAAAAGAATCGTCAAAAAATACGTAAAATGTGAAAGGCGGGTGGGTGGTTTCGTAGATTAAACACAAAACAGGTTGCAGGTTCTGTTCATGGATACTTTTGACTCCTTACGCGATTCAAAGTGCCCCCCCCCCTCCCCCGTGGATGGGGCTACTTCTATGATCCTATTTCCGTACAAGGGCAGAAAAATAACGAAGACATGTGGCTGCACAAAATCACACGTATCGTCGCCCATCGTTGGAAATTTATAACTGCGGGAGAAAAAAAATCTACACATTGTGTGTGCAAAATTTTACTGCAAGTTGTCACCCACTCTACAAAGGGAGACAAACACACACACTCAAACATCAATATTTCTGTGCTGGGGATTTGTTCATAAGGTGGCATATGTATCTCGCATGTTGACATAATTTATCTTGCATAAAGGGTGCAGATATATGCCAAATGTTCACAACATCTGAAATCTTTCAAGACAGGAGTAACTCCCGTGTGATATTTCTGCAAAGCATGTAATGAACGCTGTCTCTATTTGAGTATACAACTATCTTTTTACAGTATAATGTCAAAGATGAACTTCGATTTCACCATGTCTCCTTTTGGTGTGCCAGACGATACAACACGAGCGAACGATATTCGCGAACTGTTATCCACCAGCATGGCCCTGCAGAAGTCACTTCGAGTAACCAATGCCTGCAGTAAGATAAATCTGATCTTACATCGATGTCTAACTGCAATGGGTATTCAGAGTAGAATAGTTTATGGCATTCTATACACCCTGGATGGATTAAAACTACCGCACGTCTGGTTGGACCTGCACGGTCATATGGTTGACAATACGTTTGTAGAGAACATAACACCAGAGCAACTTTTTCTTGTAAAATCTACAGCCATATTTCTCGAGAAAAACCCAGAAGAGGAGAGTGGTCTTTACCTTGGAGATGAAGTCACAGAAAAACATGGCATTCGGGACCATAACATCAAACATTTTAGGTGGGATTTGCAAAATCCAGACAAAGCATTAGCCATTATGCAAAATGTAATACAACTGAAATCATACTTCCAAAAGATAAGGGAATTTGTGTGTCTGAAATTTTCCGTTTCTGTCGAGGAGCCGTCAACACAGACGAGATTTCGGTGTTGGGAATGTGGAAAGGAATCGTCCCAGAGTGAATTCAAAAAATGTTCTCAATGTAAGGTGGCGGTCTTCT